TTGGTGTTGCCTTTTATTCTTGTGCAGACCAAGAGCGTTGTGCCATGCAATTTAGGCTCGTGCAGGCAAGGAGCCTTGGTTCGTGCAGTTTAGGCTCGTGCGAACAAGGAGCTTTGGTTCGTGCAGTTTAGGCTCGTGCGAACAAGGAGCATTGATGTTGCCTTTTATGCTCGTGCAGACCAGGAGCGTTTGGTTCATGCAGTTTAGGCTCGTGCGAACAAGGAGCATTTGTGCCATGCAGTTTAGGCTCATGCAGGCAAGGAGCTTTGTGCCATGCAGTTTAGGCTCGTGCAGGCAAGGAGCGTTGTGCCATGCAGTTTAGGCTCGTGCAGGCGCGGAGCTTTGTGCCATGCAGTTTAGACTCGTGCAGGCAAGGAGAATTGGTGAATTTGTCAAGCAATTTTGGAAAGGCGTTTCTCACAATCTTCATAGCAAGGAGCCTTGACCGCGTGATTGAAGAAGTCTTCGGGTAAGAAGTCGCGCATCGTGATGGCAACAGACGATCTTTGTGTCGTAATTTCATCATCTTCAACACGTTCACGTTGCTTTGAAGGTTGACAAGAGCTGCTTTGCCCCCTTTCCGATTGGCGGACTTGTGGATGAGACGTATGCTTCTTGTGCAATTTCTTAGGAGTGACTTGAGTCCATCCTTCAACTTTGCTTGTCTTGGAGGGTGCCCCCAGCGGTTGGGGTGAAAACTTTGAGTCAGAAGAGCCAGAAGTGAAGGTGGTATAGTTTGACTTCACCACATCGTCAAGATCTAGCTCGATGATTCCTTTCTGAGCCAGCTTCATGATGAGATCTTTCAGCACGAAACATTTTTCTGTCGGATGACTGATGAAGCGGTGGAATTTACAGTATCTTGGACTGTCGGTACGATTCATCTCTTCCGGCCGTCTGCACTCAGGCAAACTGATCACCTTCTTGTCCAACAGGTCATCTAGCATGGCAACCACATCAGAGTCGGGGAATGGATAAGTCTTCTCCTCAAGCTCCTTCAAAGTGCGTCTACGCATCTCTTGATTACGAAAGCCTTCGGCTTGAATCGCCTTGCCTCGTGTAGGGATTTTGACGGGAGATGTGTTGACCGTCATCGTTTCCTTGGTAGGTTTCCATGCAGCCTTTTCCACTTTTATCCCAAGAACTTTGTCGTTCTTGTAGTCGGCGATCGGTTCTTTCTTCCCATGATGGGCGATGCTCAACTCCATGTCATGGGCGCGAGTAGCCAATTCCTCGAAGGTCCGTGGTTTAATGCCTTGAAGGATGTATTGCAAACCCCATTGCATGCCTTGGATGCACATCTCGATTGAAGAAATCTCGAAGAGTCTGTCCTTACAGTCGAGGCTTAGATTACGCCATCGGTTGATGTAGTCCATGACTGGTTCTTCCTTCCATTGCTTCGTGCTCGTTAGCTCTAGCATGCTCACAGTGCGGCGGGTACTATAGAAGCGGTTGAGGAATTCCTGCTCTAACTGCTCCCAGTTGTTGATGGACTCAGGCTCTAGGTCTGTGTACCACTCAAAGGCGTTTCCTTTCAGCGAGCGCACAAACTGCTTGGCGAGGTAATCCCCTTCGGTTCCTGCGTTGTTGCAAGTTTCAACGAAGTGGGCAACGTGCTGTTTCGGGTTTCCCTTTCCATCAAATTGCATGAACTTTGGTGGTTGATAACCCCTCGGCATCCTTAAGGCGTCGATCTTCTTTGAATACGGCTTTGAGTACAACCCGGAGGTATTTGAGCTCCCTTCGTACTGTGCCTTGATGGTGTTGGTGATCATTTCTTGCAGCTGCTGGATAGAAAGAGATCCCATGAGTGCCGCTGCTTGGTCTGGCTCGGGCTTCGCATCGTTTTTCTCCACCTGAGGCTCATCTTCTGGGTTAGGGTTCTCGTCGTCCTGTGGCTCCAGTCGGCTGACGAGTGCAGCGATTTGCAAGTCTTTTTCTTCCACAGTTCGGGTTAGCCTTGCGATTGCTTCATTCATCTGAGCCAGTTGTTCTTCAACGGAGGTAACGCCGATAGTCATGACTTGTGCGACCAATAGACGTGACTTTCCTTTAGACATCCAGGATGCTGATGAAGAACGTCGTTGACTGCTTTGGGATGTCATCTTATGTGCCTCAACATCATGCTTCGGTGCCCCCAGCGAGGTCAGGTTGATGACAGACTCACACCTTGGATGCCCCCCTTGCTCTTTTAGCGGCACCAATTTTGAAGTGGCATGTTGAGGAGCGGTTGTGGCACCAATGGATTGTCCGTTTGCGGCAGAAGTGCTTAGGATCCTTCCCTCAGTGGTTGCAAGAATGGCTTGTCCCTTGCTTGATGCCATTGACTTTGAGGTGTGCTTGGATTCCTTGAACGGAGAAAGAGATGAGAGGTAGAGATTGTCCCACTGGGCGTGCCAATTTGTGAACACGGAAAATTCCTGAAACGAAAGAGACAAGAACAAACGCGCACAAACAAATATTTGTATTTGATGATTTTGGGTTACAATCTCTCTCAAATTTATCCTCTGATTCGATCTCCGTAAGGTGTTGATTGGTGGGTGTTTCGTTGATCCAAGGGCCGTCGAGGCTTGATCTTGGATGAACAGTTGGAAGTTTCTTCAAAAGGCCGTGGGCTTGATCTTTGAAGGTGGATTTGAGCGGATCTTCAAGGGCTTTTGGGCTTGATCTTGAAGAAACAGTGATGAACAGATCTTCAAGGGCTTTTGGGCTTAATCTTGAAGAACGGTTGGATGTGTGGATTTGTCGATGTTTGTTGATCCAAAGGGCCGTTGGGGCTTGATCTTGGAAGAACGATGAACGAAGAACACTTTCTTCAAGGGCCGTCGGGGCTTGATCTTGAAAGTGGATGATTGTTGATCCAAAGGGCCGTTGGGGCTTGATCTTGGATGAACGGATGAACGAACGATGGTGCTTTCTTCAAGGGCCGTCGGGGCTTGATCTTGAATTGGTGGATGGTTGATCCAAGGGCCGTTGGGGCTTGATCTTGGAAGAACGATGAACGAAGAACGAAGAACACTTTCTTCAAGGGCCGTCGGGGCTTGATCTTGAATTGGTGGATGATTGTTGATCCAAGGGCCGTCGAGGCTTGATCTTGGAAGAACGATGAACGAAGAACGAAGAACAGTTTCTTGATTCTTCGGGAACCTGGATGCTTGAGAGCTTCGGAGTTTCAGAGCTTCAGAGCTTCAAGGTGTAATATGAATTGGTTCCCCTCAAATGAATGAAATGGGCTTGTATTTATAGAATTTTCCAAAGCCTAATTTTGAATATAATATCCCAGATGAAATAAGTCGTTTCTGCCAGGTGTTGACACGTGTCCTATTTGATGACTTTTCCAACTCATTTCAATTTTCGTTGAGTCACACGTTACGTGTAAAATTTATGTAATACATGAACGTTGACACTTTGATTTATCGGTCAACATTTATTTACCGAAATTTCGATGTCTACAAAACTCACTAGCATAACTTTATCTTTCACCATTACTAAACACCTTGAATAACACCAAACTCATGTAAGTAACCTACCTGTTTACTTGCTTAACAGATCCAACGAATAAGTTATAAATATTACGGTCTGCAGCCCGCAATACAGATAACTCACTGTTGTCTCGATAAGTAAGTAACAATTTCTGAAGGTGTAATACTATCACCTTGTTCTTCATTAGAAATACACATATATGCCTCGATTATGCTCAAACATTACTTTCTTTGGTATCATCGTCCATAATAAGAAATATATCAGCCGGAGTCAACTAGAATGACCTGGACGGCTGATTCTCTAGCTCAACCATCTATGCTAGCACATTAGTCGGAGTCACTTATAGTGACCTATACGACTTACTCATCTTTTTCCAAGTAATATGTATGCCGGAGAAATAATTCTTTTCTTTAACAAGTCCTTAAACAATTCTAAATCGGTTGTTTCCTCCGGTGACAACAAATAATACTCCTGTTTCCACCAGGATACAAGTTCATAACCCAAAACCAGGTAGTCGTCTCGACCCACCTGTTGAGAAGAAGATTCCTTTGATTTTGCATAATCCAAAACGTCTTTTCAAATGATTAAGTCATCACTCTGATCCATCAGGTTCATCATTTCCATAAAGTGATTCAAATTCAACTTATAACCCTTTTTAAATGTCCCTTTAGATAATAAACTGAATCACCATAGTAATAGTTTCCCCTACACTGCTATATCAGGGAGACTAGGTTCATCTGAACTACGTGGCTTGCTACGAGGAGGTATAGTTCTGACAGAATTCACTCGGAAATTCTCAAGATGTCCAGGATTGCAAACTAAGCTCTGATACCAACTGACACACCCCGTCCCGAAGGAGGGCATGATGGCCGTCACGTGGGAGTGACGTAACCATTTGCACAGTTCGGAAGCTTTAAATTTACAACTCCTAAGATGATACACCCGAAGGTGAGTCCTAATTTTGTCCATTCTGTCAGAACACCGTTGGATTCCTCGTAGTCACCACACCTCAGCAATCTTGAACCTGGAGGGGCGCAAAACCAAATTGAGTGGGTCAGTAAAACAAATCTTTTCCAAATCCAAACATTTCTCAAAACGTTGTAACCCCTCTCCGTAAAACTTGTATACTTTCCCATAAATGTAAAATATAAATATATATATATATATATATATATATATATATATATATTCTCAAAACTTCAAATCACTATCTCAATATTTTTCATTACAAATATGCCATGCCAATTTCAACAGTTTAGTATGAATGCATTAACATAAATCAGGTGGAAGAAAATAAACAACCGGAGACCCTACAATGGTCCTGTACGGCTGAATTTAGAGCTCAAATCTCATCTAACCGGAGTCACCAACTGTGACCTGTACGGCCATGCCGGAGTCACCTAGTATGACCTGTACGGCACTACACTGCACATAAGTCGGAACCACCTAATGTAGTCTGTACGACTTAATGGTTAATATTACGCTCTAGTGCTTCTCTCATCAATCATCTGTGCACATAATCTAAGGTCACCTACCAGTCGGAACCCCTCTAATGGTCTATACAACTGGCATGTCGGAACCACCTCTAGTGGTCTGTACGACTAGCATCTACTTGGATCCAAGGTGAGCGTGCGATGCGGTGCATAATAATAAGCACTAATACCAAGGTGCAGGTTATGAGCTCAATATATCTCAACATCATCATAGCAGTAAAAATACTCACCTGATACTCACCTGTGCGTCCACAGCACCAATTCATACATATGCATCATATCTCAATTCATACTTTTCATATCATTTCATGCATGGCAATTCGATTCACATTTCTATATACTTTTTATATCATTTCTATGCATGGCATTTCAAATCACATTTTTCATATGAATCTACGCATGGCATTTGAAAACATACTTTTCATATAATTTATACATTGCATTTAAAGTATACTTTCATTCAATTTCAATTTCTGGGAAAACGTCAAGTATATATATATATATACGGAAAACAAAACTGCCCACTCACCTGAAGTTCGTCCAACAACTCCCTAGCACCACACATCAAGGCGTCATGACGATCGCCGCCTAGAACAGTAATCAAATCCAACCTCAGAATTCATATCGATAGAATATATAACTTATATAAAATACGTCACTACGTAGATCGATCCGGAAGATCTGCCACTCAGATTTTAAATCCATAACTTCCAGAGGTCCAAAATATATCTCTAGGACAACATCCTAAAATTTCATCATCATCCAACGGTCGGATCTCCGTCAATTAACAAAACTAAGTGACGGTTTACATTCTATTTTATGAACTTACAACTCCAATTCCGGAAGATCCGTAAATCGGATTCCCAATCCGTAAGTTCCTATAATCCTCAAATATTACGTATTATAACGTATCAAAGTTTGGTGACGATCCAACGGTCGGAACGTCAATTCACATTTTCACCTATATGCGAAAACTATAAAACCTTATTTAAAGCACCTCACCAACAATTTGTAATAACTTTCTCATACGGTGCTCAATTTGGGTATATGAATATACCACAGTGATCTACTCGACGTCATGGACGTCGTCATATTTTTAAAATAATTTTTTGATGTGGAACGCGCCCCCACGCGCCAGGGCAAGCATGGGGACACGCGCCCCCACGCGCATCATCTTCCTCAGCCAGTCGCCGGACTGGTTTTTTCCCGGTGGCCGGTTTCCGGCCAAACTTCAAATGCCCTATTCTCCTTCGTTGTTCACCCATTTTCTTCGTATAATATATCAAATTGAAGCCCCAAACATGTAGAATCACAATACACTACTTTAAGGCTCTAAAAACAACTAAATCTCACCGGAAAAATTCAAGCAAAACCGGCCAACGTCGAACTCGATGATCCCGACGTCCAAAACTTCCAAACGAACGTCCCCGAGCTTCCTTAGGACCTCACTAAGCTCACTATAAGCTTAGAATTCCCTGAAACACAACATTTCACGTGTGCATGAACAGTACTAAAAAACTGGGGTTCGGGTTCAGGGGTTTTCGAAGGTTCTACGTCCTAAAACTAACACCAATCAACTCAGAACTTCAAGAGGGTGAAGATTCTTACCTTATTTGCTTCGATCCACGAAGTTTTGGGTGGTTTTGGTTGCCGTCCGTACGATGTGGGTGAGAGAGAGGAAGAATCGTGAGGGAGGAGAGAGAGAGTGATACGGGGAGAGGGAGAGAGAGAACAGGGAGTTTTAGGTGTGGGTGGTCCACTCAATCCCCACCATCCATTTCATCCTAACCATACAAAAATGAAAAACCCAATTTTTTTTTTAATCCATATACAACTTTCCAAACTTTAGGAAAATATCCATAATCCATAATGTGTCACACACATACCTTAGCACCCACTAAGGGCAAACCCGTCAATTCACATTCCCTCAAATGTACCTTCGGGACGGGTTGTGACACAAAGACATATCAAACACTGCATGAAAAAACGGCTACTGGGATAATGTTTTATGCGAAGCCTAAGAATTGTCACATTAGATCATGAACATCGTTCCACCCTATTGAGCATAACTTCCACTTGGAAATCTCCATGCTAGGCTCAGTAACGCTATGGATTATAAGTCTCCTTGTGTCGCAATTTTCGATAAGCCTTAAAAAACGAAAATACAGATAAATAAGATTTACCATTATAGTAATAACTAATCTCCGAGCAAAAACCAAGACAACATCAAATTGTTGAGAAATTTTTTAATGTGCCGATAATATGTCAGGTACACCAAGTGTTGAATACTTAAAAAAATATTCAAATATTTGTCTTATAACACTTGGTATACCATGTCATTTTCCTGACACTGAACACTTCCTTTGAAATGGGCACACCGAACACTTCCTCCAAAATGCCAAAATGCCAACCAATGTCTTACCTAGATGTGAGAAAAATTCGTTGAGTTCTCCTAACAAGTCTCCAAGACCAAGCTCTCGGTCACAGACCAAACCTAAAAGGCTAAAACTAGAAGATGGAATTCAGTACTCACGATCTATCTTGTGGAACTGTTAGCTACATTGCGAAAAATGAAAGATTAGTTCAAAAGAAGATGATATAGAGAGAGATTGAAGGCTCTTGAATTGATTGATGTCTCTAATACAATAGGTCTAGCATAATACACAAACACACATTACACCAAATGTTCTAATGCAATTTGTAGATTTTTTTAACTTTTCAACTAATTAAGTTATTACATGGGAACTTTAACGAAAAGCGTACAGTATTGTTCACTTTAACGAAAATCACATTTTTACACTAAAAAGTCAATCATGTTACTATTCATTGTACCCTTTGTTTTATTTTTATATTAAAACTCAAAATTTTCAAACTTGTTTCATTTGTTTTCTTTTATTACATTTTGTTATACCAAACATTGTTCCTGATAGATTTTCAAAAATCTCTACAAGTTATCATGTGTGTTATGATGGATAAAATTGTAATAGGAGAACAGTCAAAATCGTAATCGGAGATTGAATTTAACAATGTTTTTGACGAGACAATAATACCATATATACTTAAAAAAAGTTGAATTGAAATCCCAATTTCCAACTGAGGTGTGAGGAGGAGGTTGGCCACTTGTTTTTTTGTTTTTCTATTTTCATTTTCTGTTTGTCCAAAGGGGTACAAAACAGGTCATGGCCCGGAGATGACAAACACGACGATCTCGGGTTCCGATTCAATGCCGCCTCATACGGCTTTTTTTTTTTTGGGAATTGTTTTCAATAACAACACCAAGCCTGCTCCAACAATTTTGGTCTAGCAATAGGTGGCTGCTTCGCTGTTTTGGTTTGTATTGTGAGAGAGCAAGGTGCCGGGCAAATGTGAGGGAGAAGCTGGTGTTTGGTTTGCAAGAATAGTAGATATGTTGGTGTTAATATTGCCTGCGAAAATATGTTGTTTCGACTTGTATGGTCGGTCTTACGATATTTGTTTATGTAAATGAGTCTGGAATGTTCGAGTTCAAAATTTTCTTTCCACAAGTTAATTGAATTTAGACCATATCTAAATATGTTGTTTCAACTTGTATAACCAGTCTTATGATTCTTGTACGACACAAAAAAAGCGTGCACATGTACAATTGTGAAAGTCAAACTTGTGATGCACACTAGCTACATGAATAAAAATAGTAACATTTTGCGTAAAATGTATAATTTGTGACCGAGTTTAAAAAATCTAGCTAGTCTACATACTTGCATGACTACATGGACAAAAACAGTAAGAGTATCCATAAAATGTATAAAATTGATTGCAAAAGGAATGCAAGGGTATAAATGATATTTTGCGTAAATATATATTCATATATTAGAGGATGGGACATAAATAGGAAAATTAAAAAGTTCCACTATTTTTATTTTATTTTTCAAATTAAGAAGCATCTGGTTGCTTCGTCAAGGTAGTCTATTTTTTTGGAGTCCAAAAAAGACTTACCGAGTTATTTTAGCCTCCATAGCCATTATTGTGTATGCACAAGCGTCAAAAAATTGAACAGAGGACATTACCGTGTGAAACATTGAAGATTGATTGTGGTCAACGAATACCATATAGGGAAAGAATTGTGTAGTCCTAATTATCTTCCTCGGACACTTACCTGAGCTTCTGTTCTTATCCGTTTGATAAAAATCCCATGGTCGTAATATAAAGATCAAAGTTAAAATTGAAATTATAATTTTTTTTCTTTTAGATGGAAGTTTCCTGCATGTTTCACTTCCCCTCTTTACTTTACGTCTCAATATCCTCCAGCAATTATTCAGCAGCCATGGATGAGAGGGAGAGATAGAGATCGAGACGGGCGATATTTAAGGGTGAGAATCAAACTCAAGATGTTGAATACTTAATTAAATAAGGGGTACCCTTAAATAAGCTACAAGTCCATCGTTGGTTGAATTGAATGCTTGAATTTAGGCGAACTGTTATGTCTTCGGGCCATTGGGGCCAAGCCCGTCTAAGCTTAATTGTTGCTGATAGATAATTATTTGTAAAAATCGTGTTTATTAATTAGCATATATGCTTCATGTATTCTTGGAACAATATGGGTTCACAATTTTAGTTCCATAGCTTTGAATACAAAATGATACGACAAATTCAAAAACTAGTTCCCGTTGTTACACTCGTGTAACTTTATTAACAAAAAGAAAAACATCAACCTTGTTTTATGAAACTGGCGGGGTGAGCTAGACCAGAGTAAATGAGCATCCAACCATAGCTTAATCCGAGCGACGCCATTTTTGTCTCTGACTTGACGGGTCATAGACTGTATTCTGTGTTACAGTTGCATCCCAAACTTGTTATATGAGAATAGTATGATATTTATTATTTCGATAAACTCGTTTTCGAGTTGCATATTAATTGGTTCCTCCCATAGGCTCTGTTTTACTTCTCTTCCAACCCAAAACCCAGCAAAAGGCCAAAAATTTCAGTGGGTATATCTGTTCCATGCTGGGTCTGCAACAATCTCACATCGATCAACAGAGAGAAAGTGATATGCCTTATATATACATGTTCACCTCCATTTACAACGAGACCTTTTGAAACCTCACTGGCTTCGAAGTTCATCGGAACTCCGAAGTTAAATGAGTTCGAGCGGAGAACAATCCAAAGATGGATGATCCACTAAAGAAGTTTTTGTGTTTTTCCATAAACAAAATCGTGCAAGCTGAGCCTAAAACAGATAATATCGTGCTACGATAAAATCAGTCTGGAATGAGACAGGGTCTGCGTTGTCGTGCTTGGTGTGTACTGAGGGGAGAAGTGCTGGGTCTGCGTTGTCGACACACCATCACAATATTTCAGTAATTTTCTGGGTCACCAAAATTATTGTATATATCTAATTTTAAATTGACTTGATCGTTGCTTGGTCTTACACACCAGTCCAAAAACAAGGCTAATTTGGTAAATTCATCAAAACCAGAAGCAGCAGAAAAGCCAGCCTTTTCCCTTCCCTCCCAAGCCCACTTAAACACCATGACCCAACCACTCCCACCCTCACCAGAGAAAAATGTGTGACAGAGTCCTTACCATAGGTAAATGAAAGTTGTGGCCCTCCCTCAGCCTGCGGTCAATCAGTCATCCCTCCCTCAGCCTGCGGTCAATCAGTCATAGCTTGTCACATCTTTCATAAGTTCATAGGTTAAACTGGCGTTTCCAAAAAAAAAAATGTGGAAACAAAGAATTTTGTTATTGCCAGAATCCAAATAAAGGTTTTACATATAATATTATTGTTTGTGTCAAACGATTATCACTTACTAATTATCTCCACTTCTTAAAGTTTCAAAGCTCATTTGATATCTTAATGATTTAAATAATAAGATTCAACTAGGGGTCCAAGTCGGAATGAGATTTTAATTTTTGACAATAAATTTTTTTGAATCTCTACACAAAAATTTCGAATTTGATGTTTTTTTCAAAAGTTGAAATGAAAATTTGAAAGGATTGAGAGATTCTGATAACTAGGAATTTTCGA